ACAAATGTACAAATGAGTTTGACACAATGGATGTATGTATGGGTTGTGATAAGAGTTGTACAAGCCCCCAATACAATGACATTAAAGGAAAAAAAAGAGCTGTAAGAGCCCCCAATAAAAGGACTTATTGAAAAAAAAGAAAAAAGAAAAAAAAAGATGGAACTAAAAAAACCCACCCAAAAAACAAATGTTCTCATTTCTAGTTTTATAGGCAGCTCCGCCCACCCTGGAGCACTGTACTTATAAAGAGACTCAGTATTCTTACAGAGAATGTCAACTCTGACCCCAGGATTTTCAGACTGGCTTTCAGTAAAGGAAGATGGCTCCCACCTCGATCTCAACTCGACTACCAGGACCCTCGAGTTGCAGGCCTTCTGGGACCAACAACTGGTGTCACTGAAGAGAACAGTTCGGGCAACCCGAGTGTGTGAAAAGCCCTGGTGTGCCCGTGTGTCACGACAGCTGTCTCGGTCAGAGGCTCAAACGCGTGTGCTCATGTGAACACCCTGGTCACACACCCAGGCAGAACCTTCTTGTAAGTGGGTTTGCTGCACATCTTTCAGAGATGCTACGCTGGTGGGGAAATAGATTTTGCAGTCGTCCGTCTGGCTGGCCACTGAAGCAAGATCAGCAAAGATTTTCAGTCCCTCTACTGGCTGAGAAGACAAAGACAGTGACTTTTTGACTGAGTGAGGCGCTGCTCCGGGGCCAGGGCCTCCCATCAAAAAGCATCTTTAATGTTCTTGAGCTGGCGCACGGCCAGGTCGACCGGAAGGGTGAACTTGAGGCTGCTGAGGCGACTGAGCAGGTTGAGGGCGCTCTCAAAGCCTGTGTGCGCCATGTAGCTCCACGGCTGGTAGTGGGACTCGATGAGTGCCCCCGACTTACAGATGAGGTTCACCCAGGACACCAGACGCTGCTCGTTCAGCGCCATGCACACCAGGGCCTTAAGCTCAGAGTCTGCGCTGCGCTTAAAGGGGTCATGCTCCGTCAGCACCATGTGGATGGCTGTCAGTAGGCTCTGTTTGGGGGTCACAACAGTGCCCCCCACCATGGGCAAGGCAAAGGACTGGGAGAGCTTCCGGGCTGGCGATTCCACGTAAGCCCGGCCGTTCTTGGCATGGTAGTACTTTACAAAGAGTTCCCATGGATGCATGGCCTCAGGGGCTGAGGAGAAGGCTGGCAGCAAGCAAGCAATGGGCGCCATGACGAGGCTCATGCCTGGAGAGGAGGCGTACAGTCCATGGGCCAGCAGGTCCCTCACGGCCACGGTCAGCTCCTTTCGCACAGCTGCGGTCAGCTCATCCTTGCCTCCAAGAGTGAGGTCCGGGAGGCTGGCAGAGGTGACAACGTGGTTGTGTGGCTGGTGCCTCAACGCCAGCTGTTTTACTCGGTCCACGGACACCTCCAGCCTCTTTAGTAAGGGAGAGTAGTCCCTGTCGGCCTGGCCACTCTGCCACAGGCTTTGTGGAATCTGGCCGGTGGCACACCCAAACTGGCTGACGGCGAAGATCTGGAGCACAGCCAGGGCTCGCCGCATCAGGTGCAGCCCCAGCTCCCGAACTCTCCTCACATCCTCGGGCTTCACTGGGAGAGAGGACAAGTACTCATCAGCGCGAGGATATCAACACAGCAGCACAGCCAGCAGTCAACACAGTGCGTGCCTGCGTCCCAGCTACAGTGTGAGCCCACGCCGCCAAGAGCTACCGAGAATGTAGCCGGGCATGCCTTTCTACTTTCTGGTTAATAACAGCGTGAATGAGGTACCATGTATCATGCAGCAGCAGCATTTAAAACGTATCATTCAGATTCCTTTTTTGCAGGGAAGGGGTAGATTCAGAGTTGTGCATCTACTACCGTGATAAACTTGGGGATTTTTTCATCACTCCACAAAGAAACCTCGTGCTTCGAGCTGTCCTCCCCTATCTCACCCTAACCCCTGATCCCAGGCAACCATTATCTACTTTCGGTCTTTCCGGATCTGCCAGTCCAGGAGAAACGTACTCACCTTTGCCGTTTCCTGGGGGCAGTCTGCTGCCACTGGCGCCGGGGCGGGGGGAGTCGCTGCCTGTCTTCCTTCCGGCTTTGCATTCACAGTGCCCATCGCCTGTCGGCAAGGGGCTTCCCACTTCATCTGCGGTCAGAAGAGGCAAGGAGAAGAGAAGACACTGAACTTCTACCAGCAGTAAAATTCTTTACAAATATTGCCTTATTGCCTACAACAGTGACCGGCTCGGGAAATCTTTGCTGAGTGAATGAAGAATGAGTCATTACTTTGTGGATGAGGAGAGTAAGACGTACGAGCTCAGTTGCCTGCCCAAGGACACAGAGCTGGGGTTTTAACGAGCCCCTTACTAAGTGTGGTCAATTCCCTAGAAAGAGGGCATCAAGAACTGGCACCCTTAGGTAGTAGTGCCAGAATCAACGCCATGTGCCCTCAGTTGCCCCCTTCCCTCCCCAGCCGTCCTCTGACCTTGGATGAAGTGAATGAACATTTCGAGGTCTCGGATCTGAGTTTTCAGCTGTTCAACCAACTGTTCTTTCACGCGGGCGGGGTTGACGATCTGAGCCACGGCGGCATCCACACGCTGACGGAGCTCTTCGGTGGACAGTGAGCTGATGTCCTCGTTCAGGTTCATGTCCAGTTTCTTTATTAACTCGTCTATGATCACCTAGGAGATCACAGGCAATGAGCAGACTCTTGAGCGCTTTTCGGGGAGAGGCGTACCAATACACCCTCTTTCCTGACATGGGAATCTGGAGACACATACAACTCCCACATCAACTGCTCATGGGGCGGAGGGCTCAGAGTCTCTGCGTCTCTTGAAGGAATAATAGCCTTTGCTCCTCGACTTTTCTCACCTCTCGCAAATGGCCTACCTGCCGGTCGATTTTCCCTCAGGAGAAGAGCAGTGTGACTCTTCAGGCTAAAGAGAAGACACACTGTGTTCCCTCAGTCTTTCTAGCACTGTTCTAGACAACTAAAGACGTGTCTCTACACCGTGACAAGGCATACAACAGCCAGAGAAATACGACATGATTGATCTTATTGACAGTTGGTAATTCAACGGCAGCACAACCAGGGAAAGCGCCATCTACCGGCACGACAATGGCATGCAGGAAAAGCTGAAGCTATATGTTTCCCAACGGATTTGCCTTTGGCCCTGATCTCACCAGTGGGAATACATCGTCAAGTCAGCCTGGATTCTTGGACTACTTACCGAGTGGTGGGCAGCACAGAAAAAGCTGGTCTACATTGTGGGCTTTGCCCAAATACAATGTTGTGAGCACCAAATTAAGAGTGCTATTATTATGATAGATCACCACCACTATTACACTGATAATCTCCCAACCAAAGGGCCCCACCATCGTGTTACTTACTGTCCCTGCGTGACCATGTGATACGTTCCCTTTGCCCTGCGCTGGCTCAGATTCTCAGTAAGGCCAGGGAGGGCGAGCCACCAGCAGAGGAGGTCCTGTCAATGCTGGAAGGGACAAATCCACCCCAGCCAGTGGCGGAGGCGCCTCAGGTCTGCTCACCCGCTGTCTTTCCAAGATGACGGACTGAGGCAGGGAGTCGGAGCTGCCCTCTTGGTAGGCGAACGTTTCCAGGTCATCGAGCTGGGTCTTGAGCTGCAGTATCAGCTCCTTCTGCTTCTCCCTTTGGGTTTTCAGCCGTTCCCGTTTCTCCTGTTCGCTCTAAGATAAGGAAACACACACGCAGGTCTAGTTCCAGGGCCTAGAAAGAATCCTCTCAGGCCAACAATAACCAATAAAACAGAACACGTTTCCAAATCATCCGAATGAATCATAGGATGTGTAAGGCCTGATCAGAAATGAGAATCATCATTTCATCCAGGGCCATCAATTAAATGTGTCTTATTAAGAAACTACTTCTTAAAAAAAAAAGAAAAGAAAAGAAACTACTTCTTTCTCACTGGAAGTAGGAGGTGCCAACAGCGGAGCCTTTTGTGAAGACTGTTTTTTCTCAGAGGTCTGATTGGGGTTGAGATAGCCCATTTTAACCATGCCACCCTCCCCAGCCAGTGACCACCGCAGAGCTCCCGAGTACTTTGTGCAGCCAAAATGTACCAGAGACGCTGCGGACAAGGATGTAGAAAAAAGCTTTACAACTCAGCCAGTTTTGTTGTTGTGTGGTTGTCTGTTCTTAAGGTTCTAAGCTCCGCCATGGGTGCTTAAGGTACTGAGAGAAATCTACAAGTCCAGTAAAGGGAGTAGAGAGATACCAGTGCTTGAGCGAGAGAGACAGAAAAAATGTCTGGTAGGTTTTTCTGACCAGTGGCTCTAATCACTATTGGTCACCAGGTAGTTGCTGCATTTCAATGATTCTAAACGCTTCACAGTCGTACAGTCTTGTTCTTGTAGTCTCCAGCACTGGTTTTTCCTTGCCTTTCTTATCAAAAGCAAAAGGAAGCAAAGTCGGCTGAGTATTTGTAGATCTCAGGCTGGGGTTTGAAAGAAGCCTGTTAGTCTACAGGATATTAAGCATCACCTGAAAATGGTACTTACCAAACCCTCCGGAAGGAAAGCATGAGAGAGAACAATTGAAAAACAACAAATAAGCTTTCTGTTCCAGCTATTTTAAAAGCAACCCTCTCCTCTGACTCTGCACACTAAAAACTAAAACAAGAAACGGAGCTGTTTTACAGGCTACTCCTTCTGCAATCTTTTTGGTGTACATTGTTTCTTTTCCCAGGATCCTGTCTCTCCATCTCTCCATACAGAAGGCCCAGGGATCCTTTAAGAGGTTTCTCTCAAAGACTAACCATTTCCTCTTCTGAAATCGGGGCGCACGTCTCCTCTAGCTCTTCTTTCTTACTCCTTCGTGGTAAGAGTGTAGACTTTGGGGACTGAGCTCACCTCCCTTGTTAGAACAATCAACCATTTAAGATCCAATAGCAGTATTTCCCCAAGGACACAGTTCAGAGGGTAGGAGAGGAGGAATGGAACAGGATACACAGGAAGTGGGCTGAGTGGTGACACAATGAGGGGATTGCAATGGATGAGTTGAACCACCTTTGTAGGATTGTTGAATGTAAACCTGACGATCTGCTAACATTCTCTCTCTCTCTCTCTCTCCCTCTCTCACCCATGGACACTCCCACCCCCACCCCCCTGCCCATTACCCAACATAGACCTGGCACGGAGTAAGCTCTCCATATACACTTGTTGTATGCTGCAGACCTCAATTAGAAACAGAACCAAATTCTGAATGGTGAACCTGGACCAGAGGAAGTTATGTAACCAGAACCCAGAGAACTGGGGATTTGTCCTTTGTTTTTGTTCTCAAGCAGGGAGGGAAGGAACCCAGCCATAAGCTCTGGGCCTGTTTTTGGAACGACGGCATCTGCTGGAGGGAGCCCTTGCCATGGCGCGCTGTTTGCTGTAATGCTGCCAAAGGCTGTAGAGACTCCAGTATACGCCGACCAGAATACCCACACCAAGCCACCTGATTTTACCACAAAGACTGCATTCAAAATGTGCTGAAAAAACGCAGCTTATACTTGAGTATATATGGTAGGTTTTTAATAGGCGAGAACAATGAGCTGTGGCCCAAGGTAGGAAATAGTTTAAATAATTTCTAGTTAAAAGTTAGCTTAAAAAATTAGTTTTTAAAAAAAATCTGGATTTGGTAAAAAGTAAAATCATTAGAAAGAGGCCCCCCACTTTATCCTCCTTGTTCATGTGTGGATGAATGCACTAAGGTGCTTATCTAGTGGCCAAGCACTCCACATTTTTGAGGTATGCTGTTTGCAAAAGGGAACTGGAGCAGCAGGGGGGAAAGTGCTTTTGTTGCTGTCCCCTCCTGAAGAAAGCCTGGCCGCTAATCCTTTCCAGCCTTTCTGCTTCTTGATGCTCCATGGCAAGGAGCTGTGGTCAGCAGGAGAGAAGGGCGGGACTGCAACCGCAGCCGCTGCAGTGGAAACATTTCACCTTACAACAAACAAGTCAGTATCTGCTACAGATACGCCTTCTTGTCTAAAACCAACTTAAGTAGCAAGAAGGCCAACTGGGGGACTGTAAATTGGATACAAACAAGCTAGGTGTGCACCTCCAGAGATTGAAAGCCTGTAGGGAAACTGTGTATGTCTCCTCTCATTTTGGATCCTGCCCCATCAGTAAAGGGAAGCCCTGGAGGTGTTACTCCGTTCAGGAGAGTCCACTGGACTTGCAGGAGGTAGCTCTTCCCCCATTTGGATGTGGAGGGCCTCCCAACCAAAGAGGCTTGTTTTGCGGCCGACACCTGACCATGTTCCACTGCTGTTCAGAAGGCTGGCAGTAAACAGTTCATTCCTCCTTCCCACTCTGGAAGTTCGGCTCACACCTGTTCCCCATGGCTGACCCTGTGGAATCTGAAAGACCACGGGCCTCACTGCTTCTGGAATCTCAGCTTCTGGAATCTCAGGATCACTCAACGCTCCACAGTGTGACAAATTTGGCAGATGGGTGGTGATGGCACGGCACCCAGTGTCATTATTTGTCAGTGTGAGCTTCTTGAATCGATCTTGTTGTTAGAGGAACCGATAAGCCCACATGTAGAACACCTACCTAGTTATTAAACAGGATGTGAGGGGTGTTACAATGCCACATCAGGAAATGCCTAGCCCCAGGAGATGTTTTCTTGCATTAGAGATCCCTAAAGAGATCTTGCTGTCGCTCAGACAAGGGATTCGAAAGTGTGAAGATTTTCTCGATTGCGGGCAAGCTTGGGCAGGGAGTTCTATCTACTCACTTGATTTTCACAATCTAGACCCTCACAGAACAACCCATTTCCCCCAATTCCCGGGGCTGGAGGTCTCTCAGCAAGCATGCGCACAACTTCGGGACTTCATTTTTGGAAGGAGGTAAGGGGAAGCGAGCGGCATAGCTTCCGCTGCCCTGTCGCCCCTCTCCTCACTCCATCACACACCTGCATCTCCCCAACCCCGCACCCCGTCTCCACACCTCCATTTCCGGCACCAACGCCGCCTATTCCAAGAGCGCTCGGCGCCGGGCCCCAGCCCCTCACCTGGTCCTCGCCCCACAAGCGCGGCCGGTC